AACTGGGCACCATCAGGTTTCTTCACCACATTTGCTTGTGCACACATTTTGTCTTCAGCAGTCATGCCAGGTTGTTAGAACAAAGAGTTCTTGTGTTGTGGGAGGGCTTGAGCAGAAGCCCAGGGGCCATCCACTTCCTCAATGTATTGCTATGTAGATATATGTACCTATTCCAATACCTCTATTCTTATGAATTAATATATTTACATAAGCGTACACCTGTATTTATACCTCTATCCATAGCTTTGCATCCTAGATCTTTCCTCTGTTTCCTTTTACCTCCCTCCTGCCCCACCATCACGCTCGCCCTTCTTCTACCTCTTAGGAGCTCCTCTCAGCTAGATTGCTGTTGCTCCAACACTCTTAAGATCTCTTTATCCTCCACATTGTTGATTTCAATGCCTAGTTGTTTCACCGTCTATGGCATTGTTTGCTCACCTTTCCTTTCCCCACTACTCCCTCCCCCGAAGACCCTCCGGAACTGTTGGTCCCATTGCTTTCTCCTTGGGCTTTCTTCCCATGCCTATCTTATATAGGTAGGCAAAACAATTTTTTTAAATGGAAACAAAATAAAAATAAAGCAAAAGATAATAAGAAAAAAATAACAAGCAAAAACCTGAAAAAGCATACATAATTCCAGTTCTGTCCCCTGACCTTTATGACTGTCTCCCCACTGGTACAGGGTGGGGGGGGGGGATGTTCTGGGAACTGCCCCTCTTAACCTGAAGTCTATTTTTTGGGCTCCTCAGGGGCTTTGTGACTTTGCTTTGCTCCCGTTGCTGTTCTGTTCCCTTCTTGGTTTACTCTACTGTGTTGGGGGAGGGAGGGTAGGGGGTAGTATCTGACCGGACTCACTTCCTGCCGTGTGTCCCCAGTATTTTCCTCTGTCTGCTTTTTTTATTGATTGTTTCTTTCACCAGTTGTATTTAAAAGAATTTTCTTCAAACTTATTAATTTGTTTTTCCTTTTTTTCAATTATATTACTTAGCTCTCTTACCATGTTGTCTAATTCTGTTATTTTGTTTCTTTTCTAGACATTTATTTGGTGTAGGGTTTTTCGTTTTTACCTCAGTCCTCCATCTACTGAGGGACCCTAACTATCATTCTCCTGAATTTTATTTCTGGTACTTCTAGGGCCACTTCTTCAGAGCTACCCTTTGGGTCTGGGTGTCATTCCGTTGTGTGTGGCTGTTTTCCTTGATTTCTTTCTTTGTTTTTTACATGTACATCAATTGACTGCTGTTTCTGTGATACTGTGGTGCAGCTGCTAGTCTACAGTGGGCTACTGGGTCATGTGGGTGCAGTTGACTATTACTGGATTACTGGATGTCTGGGACCTCTCTTGACTTGTGATGGGGACAGTCGTGGTCTTATTAAATAACTGAAATGTCCAGTGCCTTCCTTGTTAAGTCTTGGGGACAGTCAGGGTCTTCCTTGGCAGGCTACTATGCTGGCTGGGACCTCATATGGAGGCAGGGGTAGCTGGGTCTTCCTTATAGGTTTCAGGGACCGGCAAGGCCTCTCTTTCCAGGTTCTGGGGATAGCTGAGGCCTTCCTTGACTGGGGTGACTGGGGTCTTCCTTTCCAAAGCGACAGAGACAGCTGGAGCCTACCTTGCCAGAGGAGGTTGGAGACTGTTGAAGTCGACCTTGCCAGGGAGCAGGGATTCCCAAGACTGGGTTGCTGGGCTGATTAGTGCCTTTCTTGCTGGAGTATCAGGGACAGCTGGAAATGCCTTTGTCAATTCCTGGATATAGCTGAGACTTTCCTTGATGGCGGGGTGGGGATGCTTTATCAGGATGTAAGCATGCTCAAGGCCTTTCTTACCTGGTTGCTGGGATGACTATGGCCTTCCTTGATGGGGGGCAGGGGAAACTGGGGTCTTCCTTTTCTTGCAAGGAGGCTGGGATGCCCAGGACCTTCCTTGCCAATTGTTGGGATATCTAGCCTTCCTTGCTGGAAGTTGGGGGAAGCCAGGACCTTTCTTGCCCGGGCCCAGGGACACAGGAGGCACCTTCTTTGCTGGAGGCCAGAGATGCTCAAAGCCTTCCTTGTTTGGTCACAAGTATATCCAGGGCCTGCCTGGAAGGTCCTGGGGACAGCTGGAGCCTACCTTGACAGGGAAAGGATGGGCCTTCGTTCATGTCTTGGGGATCCTGGTGCCTTTCTTGACAGGAAGCAGTGATGGGCAGAGTCTACCTTGCCCAATGGGGAGCAAGGACAGATGGTGCCTACCTTGCATGGGGTGGGGATAGCTAGGACCTTCCTTACCAAGGGAAATCTGGGGTCTTGTTTCATAGAGGGCAGGGATGTTGGAACCTTCCTCACTGGTTTCCTAGGATGACCAGGGTCCTTCCTTACTAAGGGCAGGGAGAGCCAGGGCCTTCCTTACGGAATTGCTGGTATAGCTTTGCATAATCTACTTTCAGCCCTATCCTTTCTAAGTGCAAACTGCCACCCTGGGCTTGTTCTGAGCGTATCTAAGCATAACCACACTGCTGACAACACAAAGAAAAATGGTGTCTGGATTTATGTCAAGACAAAATGGAGTTAGAGTTTAAGAATTTAAACTTTTTAAGAATTTAAGCTCCAATGTATCCGTTAATGGTGGGCAAGATTAACTAGAAGATTGGTTTAATGTACCTATAAACTCACAAAGCAAAATGAAATAGAAATTTCAAAATCTCGGGGGTTATTATAATTGTATTTATTTTGAAGTAAAGATTTTTGAGAAGTTTATAAGCTTAGTAACTTCTCTGAAAAATTAAGGAATTTAATTATTCAGCATATCTTGTTCTTTATAGTAAGAGACTCTGGCGACATTGTTGGACAAGTGTTGGACAGCCAACCTCAGGGTCAGTGGTTCAAAACCTCCAGCTGCTCCAAGGGAAAAAGATTGAGCTTTCCGCTCCCATAACCATTGACAGCCTCAGAAACCCTACCGAGGGTCAGAATTGACTCCATGGCAGTGAGTTTGGATTTTTTTGGTGGGGAGGGCCCTTTATGATAGGTTACAGTGTAAATAAGACCCCACATTGTTAAAATTTTACATTGTTTGGCTCATCTATCCTTATACACCCTCTGTCAGATTCTGTATCTCTGATATTGTCAAAGGCTGTCTAATCTATTTCAATTTATAGCGATCCCATATGACAATAGAATTTCCCCATAGGGTTTTGTAGAAGGCCTAGTAACGTAGTGAGTTATACATTGGGCTGCTGAGTGTGAAGTTAGCAGATCAAAACCACCAGCAACTCCTCAGGGTAAAGATAAGACTTATATTCCCTTAAAGAGTTATAGTCTCAGAAACCTACAGAAGCAGATGGATGGATTTTTCCACCTGCGACAGCCACAGGGTGGGTTTGAACTGCCAACTTTTGGTTAGCAGTCGAATCTTAACTGTTCTATAACCCAGGCTCCTTGATTAGCTGGTGAAGCCCCACATCTGCATTTTTGCAGGGTTCCAGGTGGTCTGCAGGCTACAGGAGCCTGGAAGGCAGTTCTGTTGAACAATGCTATTCAAAGGCAAACATCACTGTGTTCAGTTGGTAGAAACAGACTACAGGTGTTTTGTGATCCTGGGAAAGTTCTTTCATCTTTACCATCCCAGTTTCTCCATCGGACTGGAGATGTCCATATCATCTACTTCCAGTCAGTGGATAGTTGACTTGAAGTCACCGATAAATAGCTCCTTGTACACCAAGCAGAGATATTTTCCATTGACTCTTCTAGATTTGTTGCCTTGTTTGTCAGGGGAGCCAGCCCCTAACAAATAATCATGGGGCCGATAGGCGCAATAGAACGGCTATAAAATATAAAGTATCTAGTAAAGTCATAGAGAGTAAGAGAAATAGAAGAGAGGGTAAAATAAAGGAGTCAGACACATTTCATGGTAGCATGCTCACTTCAGCCCCACTTGGTGGTACAGGTGGGGATCAGCGAGACCCAAGGAGGGGAGGTGGAAGGAGAGAAGGAGGGAGAGGGAAGGAGGACCGGAGGAGAGAGGGCTGGAGGTGAGGGGTCTGGGGACTGGAGGAAAGAGCATCTTTATTGTTTTCGGGCTTCTATAAGTAGTCATGCATATCCAGGAGTTCCATACCTCACAAGGTGAGTGGTAATCACAGTAAAGTCCCCGAGCTCACAGATGAGGAAACCTAATACCCACATTGGGGTAGCATGAGGGGGATGGGTGCCTCGATGGGAGGAGATAATCAAAGAATGTCTGCTTCTACAGGGAGACAGATCAACCATGTGCTCACTTTAAGGCAGCATAGCTGTTTGGGGAGAATCTGCGGGAATGACATTGGTTAGTTTCCCACACTTGTCCTGAATAAAACTCTTACTTTTGCCAGTGCCTGTGTGTTTCTAATCTAGATATTATGTATGTTTGAAGCCTGAGTGAAATACTACTGAACAGCTCCTATGCCCCAAATGAAAGGAATCTCCAATTACCCAGACTCCCACAGGTCTGAAGCTCTGTCTTTTATTGCATCCACTGTACTGGATTCTGCTTTGTCTCTGCATACTATCTTTTATTAGATTCCGTGATGGTGCTTCACTTCTGCATCCCACAATAAGTAAAGTGGGTTTGTTTTTAAAAGTCCTAATGGTTTAAAGAGTAAAGGAGTGAACATATTTGATGTTCTATAACAGCACTTCTGGTATTTATGTAAGCATTCTTTCAGTCAATATATATTTATTAAACTACTAGAATTTTCCCTTCAATTTACTAGGCCCTGTTATTTGGTACCATGAAGACTACACGTGGTTGACTTGGTGTTTGGTTCTTTTTGTGGTAATGTGAATATCTTTTTGGCATGACCAATGCTTGTTAAGTGTTTCGTTTAGTGAGTAAATGAAATGCTTTGTTCATATATACATACATATATATATATATATGTCAGTATACAAATATGCATTTGGACAAGGTTTTAAAATTGAAAGACCAAAGTATGAAGTTGAAATGACTCTCTTCTCTTCTGTTTGTCTTGCCATTTCAGATGATGGAAAACTGTCCTTTGAAGAATTTAAAGCATACTTTTCAGATGGTGTGCTAAGTGGAGAAGAATTACATGAGCTCTTCCATACCATCGATACACATAATACCAAGTAAGAATCGCTTTCTCACTGGATTCTGTAGATGAGGTAGGGAAGGCGAGCACATAAGAGTGCATGTGCCTGAAAGATAAAAGGAGGAAAGATATAGAGTGCACATTTTGTCATGTGCAGCTATATTTCATTTTAAAACACTGCATTCCCTAATAGCTAACATGCTCCAAAAAACCTGAATTTTGAATTAGAAAATATGATCTGTAGAGAGTTCTCCTATAGTAGCTTCAGACTAAGCCAAAATTTAGCAAAAACATAGATTGTAAATAATGCAAATTTTATCCTTAATAAGAAAGTAGAGTTCTGAATTGTTTCTTGGGCTTCATATGAATTTGTCTCATTAAAAAGTTGAAGTTATGCCGTTCTTACATTGGTAGAATTAAAAAGGGGAATGAGAGGAGTTATCTGTACAATTTAATGTGCCAAACTCCAAATCACTGCCTTTGAGAGAGGCAGGTAATACAGAAGGACTCAGAGTTATAGCCTGAATAACTGATATATTCAGCAATTCAGCTCTAGTATTTGTTTTGTCCACATGTAAAACACGTATAATATGGCCTTTATACTGATTCTATTTATATTTTCATATGCTAAACAATTAAATAATGAGACATTTAGAATACAAAATAACAGAAACACGCTGCTTGATTTTGGTTCAATGATCTAAAATTACATCACTGTGATAGTTGTGATTATAGAAAATATGGCATGAAAGTACCTTTGTAACTATGTCTTGAGATCCAACCACAGGTCTAAGGTCTGAACAATTGTGGCCTTGCTATAAGGCCAAATGTGCAATGTTCCAGCTAATGAATCATCATTCCAAGTAAAGGCCCTTGGGCTCTACTAGTGCACAGACATTTTGTTAAAGCAAACTAGTAAGAAAAATTAAAAGGTTCATTTCACTTTACTCAAGCAAATGAATATTTTTTAAACAGTTCATTTGTAAATTTCTTCAGTTGGAATTTCAAATATTTTTTGAAGTGGTTTAAGATTTTTGTTGTCAGAAATAGTATTAGAGGGTAAAGAGATTCAGAGTCCTATTATTTTCAACAAATATAGCATAATACCAAGTCTATAGTAACGATTGGTGGTATAATATAAAACTTGCTTATAATTTAAGTGGAGAGATACATCCACGCATTGATAATTTCCATAAAATGTCATAGATACTAGGATTGGGACATGCACACAACACTTTGGAATCACAAGGGAGGGAGTCTTTATTCACTTTTGTGTGTTTGGGAAATATTTCCTGGATTAGGCTGCTAAGAGTTGAGTCTTTATGAGAGAATACTAATTGATAGACTCTTCCTATCAGAAGGGACAGAAGGAGGAAAGGCCTGGAGGTATGTGCACAGTGTACTATGAGTGAATGAGAGGGATAAACATTTGCATGTGACGAAAGTGTCACTTGTAAGGGATAAGGGAAGATCAGACTGGAGAAGAAAGAATGGGCCCGACAAAAGGAATTTTCATTCTGAGATTTCAACAGAGCCTCAGCTTCACCATGTAGACCAGTGAAACCTACAAAAGAATGTGCGTCAGGAAAGGAAAGTTTTGTAGTTCATTGTGACTCCTAAGCATTAGTAATAACAATATATAGTTTCTGATCATAAAGTGATTCAACTTAATCTGTAGTTAAAGATAGAACCTTTAAAATTATATTCAGAAAGTCTGTCAAAAAAACATGTCTGTAGTCAATGGATGAACATGATTAATCCAACCATTGGGACAGACCATTTCAAGCAAGTGGTAACTTTTCAAATGATTCAAATATGAAATACTGATTGTGCTGTATGTCAATTATTTTTCTCCTTCCACACACTTTCTAAGAATACGTACTCTTCTCTTAAGCCCTGCCACAGCACAACATGCCAGATCACAGTAGTCCAATCATGAATTGAAGGTAGATCACAGGCGCCAGGTCACAGCTTGGACTGAGGCAGCCAGAGTCAGTGCCATGGAGCTCTCTGGAACTTCTTGGTTACTGTCCCTCCTGAAACCTGTAAACTTGATCTCATACTAGATTTCACGAAATCACAAAACCAGCTGTCATTGAGAGTTCCAATTACTTGCCAAAGACGAACATGCTCCACAGGACTTTCAATGGTTGGTTTTTGTAGATTGTCGTTCTTCTCCAGTGCCTCTGGGTGGACTAGCCAATAGTTGGGGGTTTGCAGTTATTTTAGATATCTACTTCTTGCTATAGCAGAAAGACTGCAAGATGGCTTTAACACAGACGCTTATTTTCTCACAGTTTAGGAAGCTAGACGTCTGAATTCAGAGTGCCCAACTCTAGAAGAGGGCCTTTTTTCTGTGTTGACTCTGGAGGTGTGTCCTTGCCTCTTTTTAGCATCTATGGGTCTGCAGTTCCATAGAGAGATCTGTATATGTCTTCTGTCTTTTAACATCAATCTTCCTCTAAGTCAAGGAGGTTCTCAGCAGAGGGACCCCAAGTCCCAAAGATGTTTTTTCCATTCCTCCTTATTTCTTGGGAGTTGTTAGGTTTTTCACTTTCTGCTCACTGCTCTCATCTTTTATTTATTATAAGATACAAGATGATGTAGGTCACTTCTCAGGGAAACTCCCCTTGCATCAGATCAGGACTGTGATTTGAGAAAAGTTGTATCCTATCCTAATCTGCTGACAACTGATTGGCTGATCACTTCAGATCACATCTTAGATGATGATTACATTGTTACAACACGGTCACATTGCATCATTATATAACTCCTGAACCACTGAGAATCATGGGCTAGCCAAGTTGACACATATTGTTGGGAGACACAATTCAGTCCATCACAACACCCAAGGAAATTAACCTTTTGCACTACCCAGGGGGACTACTGGTTGTATCTGATTAATAGAACACAGTTTCTTAAACTCTTTTGAGACTCTGCTCTTGCAGCAGTGTGCTCCAAGAACAATGTTAACTCGGTTCATCCTGCTATTTCTTGAAATTCAAGTTTCTTTGAGATAAACATTATATTTTACTATGTTTGAGAGGTTACATATCCACTTTGAAAATAAGTGGATTTAAGCCCAAATTGAAGAAGCACACCAGCCTGTGTGATCACGAGGTGTTGAAGGGATCAGGTATCAGGCATTATCAGAACAAAAAACCTTATCATAGTGAATGAGTGAGGAAGTGCGGAGTGGAGACCCACAGCCCATTGGTAGGCCACTGGACATCCCCTTACAGAAGGGTCTCAGGGAAGAGACAAGCCAGTCAGGGTGCGATGTAGCAACGATGAAAAACATACAACTTTCCTCTAGTTCCTAAATGCTTCCTCCACCCCCAATATCATAATCCCAATTCTACCTTACAAGTCTGGCTAGACCAGAGGATGTACACTGGTATGGATAGGAACTGGAAACGCAGGGAATCCAGGGCAGATGATCCCTTCAGGACCAGTGGTGTGAGTGCCAATACTGGGAGGGGAGAGGGAGGGTGGGTTGGAAAGGCAGAACTGATTACAAGGATCTACATGTGACCTCCTCCCTGGGGGACAGACAACAGAAAAGTGTGTGAAGGGAGACGTCAGACAGGGCAAGATATGACAAAATAATAATTTATAAATTATCAAGGTTCATGAGGGAGTGGGGAGTGGGGAGGGAGGGGAAAAATGAGGAGCTGATGCCAGGGGCTTAAGTGGAGAGCAAATATTTTGAGAAGGATGAGGACAATGAATGTATAAATGTGATTTACACAATTGATGTATGTATGGATTGTGATAAGAGTTGTATGACTCCCTAATAAAATGATTAAAAAATAAAAATTAAAAAAAGGAATAAATATTTCACAATATATAATGACAAAAAATAAAAAAATAAGTGGATTTTTTAAAAAGGGAAACATTGAATACATACTTTCCTATTTAAAATTTTCCCTTTTGTTTCATGAAGAATATTCTTAAAATAACATGTTCAATAATAAGAGGCAAATATTTGTAAATTTAATTATAGCTTGTGCCTATAGTAAAACTTCATGGAGATGACTTTAAATGTTAAAAGCTAACTAAATTATTTCTTGTGAAATGACATAAAAAGTTCAGAGAAAACTTCAGAATTTCAAAAGTCATATTTCACAAGCAGCTTTTAAAAGAACAACTATAAATGTGAGCTAGTTGTGCAACAATTTGAAAAGAGTATTTTGATAAGTAATATCATTTGTCTATCTATCGATCGATCAATCGATCGATCGGTCTTATGACTTAAGGAAACTAGTGGCACAGTATTATGCACTCAGCAGCTAATTAGATTAGTGGTTCGAACCATGCCACTTCTCTGTGGGGGTAATCTTCTATAAAGATACAGCCTTGGAAAGACTACTCTGTCCTGTAGGTCACTGTGAATTAGCATAACTCGACACCAATGGGTGTTGTGTTGTTTTAGCTATCTATCTGTCTTGCCTAGGTTTATGCATATCTAAGCAGAAGTCTTAATTTTAAAACATTCTCTTTTTCTTTCACATTATTAATTCATTAATTTGCTCTTTTGTTTTAAAAATTCAATATGTTCATTCATTTCTCACTTGAGAAATTGTCTTGAGAGGACTTCATTGAAGTTTTTACTGTGCCCTCCAATCACTTGGATCTTTCCAGTCAAGGGGCCTCTAATGATTGCAAATCAACTCTAACAAATAAGCAAATCTTAAACATATGCAATTTCATAAGAACTCAATATATGAAACTATGAATTCCTGTAATGAATATTGACATTTATTTAACCTGACAGGTATCTAACATTTCTGCCATAAATACTACCAAGGTTGCAAGTATCCAGGTCTGAATATTACAAAATGTTTTCAGTGTTTTTTTAACCTAACTAAAGTCAAAACTTAGTATAATCTCACTGAAATGAAAATTCAATTAAACTTCTTACAGCTTGAAGAGTTCATTCAGAGCAATGACTTTGATAGTAAAAAGAACCTTGACTTTTATTTTAAAATCCTTTCTCATTATATTTAGACAGTTTTCATTATCTCTCTTTTGGCA